ACAATATAACATTATTAAGATAAACGTTGAGTGTCTAGAGTACAATACGTACCGTTTACGATATAACATTATTAAGATAAACGTTGAGTGTCTAGAGTACGAATACGTACCGTTTACAATATAACATTATTAAGATAAACGTTGAGTGTCCAGAGTACAATCGTACCGTTTACGATATAACATTATTAAGATAAACGTTGAGTGTCTAGAGTACAATCGTACCGTTTACAATATAACATTATTAAGATAAACGTTGAGTGTCCAGAGTACAATCGTACCGTTTACAATATAACATTATTAAGATAAACGTTGAGTGTCTAGAGTACAATCGTACCGTTTACGATATAACATTATTAAGATAAACGTTGAGTGTCTAGAGTACAATCGTACCGTTTACGATATAACATTATTAAGATAAACGTTGAGTGTCTTGAGTACAATCGTACCGTTTACGATACAATAAGATTAAGATAGACATTAAGTATTTTGGGAACGAACTATGTTTTAAAATGCTTTTAATTCAAAAATTTTTGTAATTATTATCGACTTTCTTAAATCTTAAATACAGACCCTTTTCCATGCGGAATGCCATTTTAGTTTTTTACGTTACTTCACCAAGTTCATGAATGTTGATGCATTATAATTCACTAAATAATTAACATCTTATATATTCAAGAAACAAAAGAACAGATATCAACGTGGTTTAAAACTTCTTCACTGCAAGTCAAATGAGGCTCAGTGCCGTTTCAGAGAACATTCCTTCTTTCTTAAGTTCAAAACTGAATTTTAAAACTAGCCTTCGGTATTGAAGGCTAAGGATAAACTCTAGTTTTATAATAAAAGCTAGAAGGGTGAACAACTTTCAGATACGGAAGAGTGAGGTTAACTTTTGTTTTGTTAGGCTATTAAAATGTAATTATACTGAACTACGACATTCCTCTCTTACTGTAGGTATACAACTGATGGAAGTCATGATAGGTTTTCTAAGAAATATCAAAGAAAAATCCTGGATATTGATTTTAAACATCTCCTCACGTTTGGTTCAAGACTTATTGTTTAAGCTGTATGACCACACTTCTGTTCCCGCCGTTGTTGAGCACACGTGTATTGATACGTTCATATTATTATATCTATAAAATCTTGGTCGTGAAATAAACCCATGGAAGCGGGTTTATTTTGCCCACTACCCTTCAAAAAAAAAAAGCAGCTTTCTTTTGAAAGGGCGTTTGTAAAAATTCAAATGAAAACTATTGTGGTAATTGTGGTATTGTCAATTTTTCTATAATTTAATGTTTTCATTGATAACTTTCATGAATGACATAGTAACTGAAAAAAGCACACGACACACAAAATTTAGGAAACTAGGAATAAGATAATAAAAGTTATGTATTGTATAGCACGGAGTAGATTTTATTGAATCACGTTATTGTGTGGTACTTCATATAGCTATACATTTACAAAAATTGAATTAAAATAAGGTAAAACTTCTGAGCAAGAGATACGACTTATCTGTAAGGCTTTACATGCTGAATTACGTTCCTCTTAAAAACAGACGAAGATTAGTAATCATAATTTGATTAAAAGATTTTAAAAGATTATTACAAGCTATCCATATTATTTAATGTTTCAACGTATAATACGAAATCAGCTTCTCTGGATAAATCCTCAGCCTCACATTAAAATATGCAGTAACAATTTAAATGTAGGTCAGTTTGACTACTTCATAATTCGTAGCAACATCTTACAACAGTTATTTGTTATTACTTCGTACTGCGTTGTAACATTTTCGAAACGATTATGCCTTACTACTTCATACTGTGTAGCAACACTTTACGCAGAGGTCAGCTTTTA